TATATAAAATTATGCATTCCATTTATCGGCTATACACTAATTAAACATAGGTCTTAGGTACTTACCTTGGAAGATGGGTATGAGGTTATCGAAACCCCAAATATTAAACAATTTTTCCATTGCAAGTAAACTACATACACTTTTATAACAAGTAACAAACAACTGTAAACCATGAACGGAAGCAAAGCGAAATGACGACCGTATAAATGAAAACTGCCGATGTGCGTATTCCTTTTAGATGAAAGAACATATTTGTTTGAATTAAATTACGTTTCTTGACGCAAACTTACGCGTCACTTTAGGCAAATTTTTTTGTATGCTTATTGCAGAAAACTGTTCATACCTTTGAATCAGGAATATAGACGATCAGAAAAAGACATCTCAATTTTTTACACAAATGTGTTATAATTTTTTAGTTCAAAACATTTATATCTTGATTAAATACCACGTTCTAGGCTTGAGTTGAATAATCACGTTTGCAATAAGAGAATATTTCAAAAAAACCTTTCTCTTATTTGAACCAATGTAAAATGTTTGAAGAGAAAAACTGATCTCTACCTAAATATCTATTTTCTTTATGCAAACTGAGTCAAGCATTTAATTTTTTTGAATTCAAGTAAATATTTTTATGTGTGTAGTTTAAGACATAATCTTCAAAATGTGCTGGTCGTTGGTTGTTTCTAATGGGCCGATTTGAAATCGAGGGTTCTTGTTCTGCATGATATTCTACTTCGTCAAACACATTCGTCTGCGGCAATACTTGGAAATCTTTTTTATTTCTTCGCAACGTTCTTCCGTCTGTTTCGACAAAATACGATCTTGGTTGTTCTGCAGCGGTCTTGATTATTCCTTCTCTTTTTGTGTCGATTATCCATACTCGTTTTCCTTCGTCGAGGTCTTGGCTTTCTTGGGTGCGATGTCTTTTATCGTAGTTTTGTTCTTGTTCCTTCTCTAATTTCTTTCTCACCTCCGCATGGTTGAATAGCTTCGGCTGCGATTTCTCTTCTAGCATCGCTAATCGTTCGCGTCATTGTCGACCATATAAAAGTTGAGCTGGCGATGCTCCGCAGCTTATGGCCGTTTGCACCGACAAATTTAACCCATTAATTCCCAGTGTACTCGGATGAGTACAATAAACTTTGATTCATTTAAGAGCCCTCTGGCAGTAAGGTACAGAAATTTTTTGGTTATTCGTACGACAAACCTGATGTATATGAACTGTCATACAGATATCTAACAGCGATTATGTCAAATTCTACAATTTTAACTTTGCACGTGGCTTTTATCTTGCAAGCGTTTCGCTAACCTAAGTTTTCGTGTGTTGACATTTTTCATTATTGTGTTTAGGTTACTTTGGGTCCGCTTAGTGCTGTTTTTTGTGTTTAATTGTGTTCACGAACCATTATAGTAGTGCCTCAGAAACGTACAAGGGTAAGTTAATTAATTTCAAAATAATAATCGCGGTCAAAGTTGAGTGTACTCGCTTGAGTACATTGGGAGAATACCCCCTATGCACAAAATTTCTAAAAAGTAATTAGGCACTTTTCCTCCAGAGTCACTTCACATTTGGAATGGATATGAATGACGTACCAATACCTCCCCTGTTATTTTATGGTAGAAGTTATAAGAATCTAGGTCCAGCTATAGAGGATCTTCAGTCACTGGACACAAACGGCGAGATAGACGTTGTAATAATTCCCCCAGAAGTAGATGAGCAGACGGACGAAGAAGATGTCGACGAAGAAGACATTAGTCCCACGTGATGTTCCAGGATCTATAGAAGTGCACTACGACAAAAGCGATGACGAATATTCCAGTGAAGATGATGTCCCCCTTGCAGTATTTAGGAATCAGCAACTACCAAAAAAAAAAGAAGACAGCCAACCCCGTGTGGACTAAAGACCCTGAAACAGATATAAGTACGCCTACAACTCGTGGTTGTCTCGATCGCTTGACCATACTCAAGGCTGAACTTGAAGGTAGAAGCCCGGTGGAAATATTTAAAAAATTTATTGACAAAGACGTGATTGATCATATAGTGTTTCAAAGTAATCTGTATGCACAGCAGAAAAATGACCACCGATTTATGTTTTCTGAATCTGATATGAAAATTTTTTTGG